AGTTGTCCAGCTAATTTCTTTCTATTTTTTCAATAGAGACGGGTTCTCGCTCTTGCTCAGGCTGGTCTCGAACTCCTGATCTCAAATGATCCACCCGCCTCAGCCTCCCAGAGTGCTAGGATTACAGGCGTGAGCCACCACACTCGGCTGAGAACTGTTATTTTTTATTACTGAAACTTGCCTTCAAGCCTCTTTCCTAGGAGCAGGACTGATATTAAATATTAGAGAAAACAAATTTCACTCTTCTTTTTCTTCAGCAGATCACATAAAGATACTCTTTTTACCCAAGGTAAAAAACTAACATACGTGCACTCAACTGTTAAGCAGTGTTTCCGTACCTATCATCATTAAGGCTAAGTGGAGAGTCAAAAATGGGAACAACATCTCTACTATTCTATAGGTTTAACAAGGTCAGAGAATCAGAAGATTGTGTACTACTGCGCAGCCAAGTGCTAGTTGATAAACACAGATAAATGTAAGTTTTTTTAAATTACAAAGCATTCTCATATGGGAAATGCTTTTCTGATAATTTGGATCATTCTTACTTACCAATATACATGTCCCAACAATGAAAGAGTAAAACAAGCTGAATCACCAAATTCAGTAACAATATCATCATGGCTTTTCTGCTTATTAAACACTCCACCAGATAAGATCTGTTCCCCTTCTGCAAGCCTTTAAAATATAAGTTTACAGATTTTTAAAAAACAATACAAAAAGCACTTCATGTAAAGACATTCTTCATTTCCAACGTACTTGTCTAAGTATGGAGATGAATTTTTTTAATTAAAAATTTTTTTTAAAAAAAATTGGGAATAGTGGTAAACATGTATTTAGAATAATTTGTGAGGCTGGAAATTTATGTTCTTAAATTTTCAGTTTTGCCTTTAAAAACAGAACCAATCAAATTTAGTCTCTATATGTATAAATCCAGTCTGAGCAACACATTCATTACTCACATCAGAAGAGCTAGAAGATGGTCTTTATACTGGGGAAGCGGGGGTGAATATAAATGGTTTACCATTAACAGATGTGGTGGCCCTTCTTAGTTCTGTAATTCCTTGAAAGAGGAATCTGTACTCAAATCAAACAAGTATAATATATTTTAATTAAAAAGCACATACTTAATGGCCTCAGTCATTTTAAGATTTAAAAATGAAACTTAACTAGTACTTCATCCCTTTTTGTTGATATTTTCTCAATATAGAAAATCATAAATGTTCTCCAAATGAAAAAAAAAATTTCCTGATTTCACTATATATTTTTAGCATATCAGAGTCTATAATGGTTTGTGTTTTAAAGTGTTTGATTAAAAACCATCGAAATCATCATATGGAAAACTCTCAAGTAAGTTTACACAGCATATCCTGAACACAAAAGGTGGATATTTAAAGTCCTTTTACTGTCAATGGGACTTTTAAAAAATATAAATGTTTATAAATGGCATAAGAATGTCAACGTAAGAATTGGCTTAAGAAATCGGCAAATTAAATAAGAAAGTAGATTAAGAATTCAACAGTAGAATTTTGGGATTTTAAAAATAATTCACTAACAACTATCTTAGAAATTTTAGATATTATTTTAGCTAGCTTTAATTAAAAAGTCATCAATGAGTCACTGGACAAATAATGTAATTATTTATCGGTCTATGGTAACTTTACAAGACTTATTTGTATCTTCCCACTGTAAACCTGCAAACTAAATACACATACAGGCTTTTGAAAATATTTGTTTAGTCACTTTTACCATTATTCCCTCTCTTTTTTTAATTTTTAAAATTTTTTTTCCTTTTTTACTCCTCACTCCTCCCCTCTCATTTTTCCATCTCTTACAGCACAGAAAAAAGTTTAACAGAACATAACTCTCTGTACCTCTAGCTGCCTCCAAATATGGAATAGGGATAGCTGACTTAGTTTAACTGCAATGTACAAAAGAACTGCTCAAGAAAATGATCTTGAAAGGAAACTACACAACTACCTAAACACAGGGGAGCACTAATCTCAAGGGAACTGGCAGGTTTTCAGGTTTATTCAACTTGATCTTTGAAAGCAAAGGAAAGAAAATATTTGTGACCATTTCAGAAACTGGTAAGAATTAGTTATAACTTAAGTTTCTCCAGAGTTAAAGTCTATTATTACCATAACAATGAAATCTCCATAACATAAATAATGCCACAGGCAACAGTGTTAACATTTCAAATGTTACTGAAATAGACAAACCCCTACAATCAAGATACAGTACAGAAAGAAAAAGAGGGAAGAAAGGGAATCAATCAGATTTAATCTGCCAAAAGAATTTTATCCAAAATTCTACAGTGTAAGTAAAACGAAATTAGCTACAAAAGATTTTAAAACTTACTTGCTGAGATCAACACAACATTTTGCAAGCAGGTATTTGCATTGCGGTGTAGTACAACTGTGTCCTTTCAAGAGTTTATATGCTTTATATGCCTTTCCTGAGCGGTAATAACAGGTTGCCAGTAAAAACAAGGCTTCTTCTGAGTGTACTAAGAACAGACATTAAAAAAAAGTTGGCTGTTGTTCAGTATATTGAATAGTAATCAGTTTATCTGGCAATAAACAAGGTTAGCAAAATGCTTTAAATACATTATCTTATTAAATTTTTTAATTCTAAGATACAATTATTAACTTTATTTTACAGATGAAAATTCTGAGATGTTCAGACATTAAAGTAACTTGTCCAAGGTTATAAAATTGTATATTTAAGTGACAGCGTTAGGATTTTTAGACTCTAAATCCATGCTCTTAGCCACAGAATATAGATTCTGTTCTAATAATAATAATAAAAAAAACCTGGAAAAAATATCTAAAGATTGGAAAATGATTAAGTAAATCATAGTGCATAAACCTGAATCAACTCTACAGTTATTAAAAGCAACATGTAAGAGAACTACACAAATACAAAAGTTCTTATGAACTAGAGTCAATCAGAAAGAAAAAACAAGAAAGTGATACCCAAAATCTTGTTACAGTCATAAAGAGTGATAGAATTCTATACATTTTATTCATTTATAGAGTTTTATAGAAACGAATAGATTACAAACCTTCTGCATACAGCCGTTCTGCAAGGAAAACTGCATCTCGGTAAGCATAGTGGTTTAGTGCTTGCCATATAGCAGCCTGTAAGTGCAGTAAAAAGAACATAAATATACACACATACAGAGTTTCAAGGTAACTACTATCACAGAGCTTTGCATATAATTCTCAAATTAATAACCCTAATTAAGTGATGAAACCTCAATGCCCACAGAACAAACTCCATAGAGTGTTAGATAAGGCTCTTCACAGCATGGCTCCTAACATATCTGAATTCATGCATTCAACTCCACGGACTTTTAGGTTTCTGTGCCTTTGCACAGCCATTTCCTTCACTGGTAATGTGAGCTCCCTCACCAACCTCCCCTTATAAATTCTCAACTCAAAAGACCCAGGTTAATAACATCTATTCCATAAAGCTTTCCTGGCTCATCTCTAGCAATTTCTTTTTTAACATACATCTTCTAGTAGAGCACTCATATTATATAGCAGTTATCTGTTTACAGGCCTGCCTACTCTACTAAACTGCAGGCTCTTAATAGCAGTGGTTCCCAACCACTTTACTTGATACACATGAGGGAGATGGTTGAATGTTTGTCATTCTCCCACAAAAACTTCCCCACCTATTACCTTTAATGCCACCCAATTCTCACCCACTCAAGGAAGCATATTGGAATGCAAATGAGTAAAGTTATCATTGAAATAATCTTTAGTTTATTTGAATATGTTTTAGAATTATGAAACATAAAGTATACATCAGACAGAAGGACATCTTAAGTAACAATAAACAAAAACACTTAGACTTATGTACTCTCCGCCCAGCTCAAGGAATAAAATAGTACCAATATCTCTGAAGCCCTCATGTGCTCCTTTTTGATAATATAACCTCTTCCTGCCCTAAAGAGGAAATGCCCCAGATGGGACATATGGACACCCTGAATTTTGTTGACCTTTCTTTTGGTTTTCTTCACAATTTTATACATTTGAATGTATCATCCCTAAGCAGTATAACATTTACTTTCCCCTGTTTGTGAACTTTATTTAAATACAATGTGTTGTATTTGTTCTGTTATGACTTGCTTTTGAAACCCAACATTATATTTAAAAAATTAATCCTTGATTTGTATAGCTGGAATTCATATCAATTGCTGAATAGTGTTTCCATTGTATAAATATACCCAAAAAAAATTTTTGTTTTTTGCAATTATAGCAATAATGCAACAAAAACTCTCATATTCATCTCTTGAGGAACATGTTTAAGAATCTCTCCAGCCGGGCACAGTAGTGTGTGCCTGTAGTACCAGCTACTTGGATGGCTGAGGCCAGAGGATTTCCTGAGATGCAGGAGTTCGAGGTTGTGATGCACTATGTGCCTGTGAGTAGCCACTGCATGCTATCCTGGGCAACATAGCCAGACCCCATCTCAAAAATAAATAAATAGGCCGGGCACGGTGGCTCACGCCTGTAATCCTAGCTCTCTGGGAGGCCGAGATGGGAGGATTGTTTGAGCTCAGGAGTTCGAAACCAGCCTGAGTAAGAGCAAGACCCCATCTCTACTAAAATTAGAAAGAAATCAATTGGACAACTAAAAATATATAGAAAAAATTAGCCGGGCATGGTGGCGCATGCCTGTAGTCCCAGCTACTCGGGAGGCTGAGGCAGGAGGATCACTTGAGCCCAGGAGTTTGAGGTTGCTGTGAGCTAGGATGACGCCACGGCACTCTAGCCCAGGCAAGACAATGAGACTCTGTCTCAAAAATAAAATAAAATAAATAAATAGCAATAATCCCCAAACCAAACCAAAACAAACAAATGAAAAAGAACCTCTCCAAATTAGGATATATACTTAGGAATAAAATTACTGGGCTGTTGAACATGTACATGCTCATCATTAGTAGGTAATGTCAAATCATTTTCTGAAATGGTTGGTTTAATTTACATTCTCATTAATAATATATGAGTTCCCATTACTTCGCATCCTTCCCTATACTATTGTCAAACTTTTAAATTTTTACCAATCTGATGGAATGAAAGTCTCCAATTTTTAAAATATAGATCATTCATAAACTTACAAATTTTTAGTAATAAACTACTTTTGAGATATCTCACAACAGATCATGATACAACACAGTTATCTTTTATTTTTAGCATGTCCGCAAGTTCATAATTTGAATGACTTAATAAGGGTTACAACGAAGCCAGTAAAATCTGGTTACCAATCACTAGCTAATATTATAACTGTACATCTGGATTATGTTAAAGTGATTAATATGCCTTAAATATAGAAAAAGCTTAATAAATTTTGTTAAATAAGCAAATATTTATTTCTAATAGTAGTCAATGACTTAGTCCAAAGGTGTATTTTTCTATTTCCTCAAGAAAGAATAGTAATGAACTTGGCTAGGTGCAATGGCTCACAACTGTAATCCTAGCACTCTGGGAGGCCGAGGTGGGAGGCTTGCTTGAGCTCAGGACTTCGAGACCAGCCTGAGCAAGAGTGAGACCGCATCTCTACAAAAAATAGAAAAATTAGCCAGGCTTATGGCGTGTGTCTATACCCTAGCTACTCG